TTTTAGTAGAGACAGGGTTTCACCATGTTGACCAGGATGGTCTCGATCTCTTGACCTTGTGATCCACCCGCCTTGGCCTCCCAAAGTGCTGGGATTACAGGCTTGAGCCACCGCGCCCGGCCCTTCCTCTATTTCTGATACATTTTTAAACAATATTTATGTCACCGCCGGGTGCGGTGACTCATGCCTGTAATCCCAGCACTCTGGGAGGCCGAGGCGGGTGGATCACTAGGCGAAGAGATCGAGGCCATCCTGGCTAACATGGCAAAACCCTGTCTCTACTAAAAATAAAAAAATTAGCCAGGCTTGGTGGCATGCTCTATAGTCCTAGCTAGTTGGGAGGCTGAGGCAGGAGAATCACTTGAACCCGGGCAGCAGAGGTTGCAGTGAGCCAAGATTGCGACACTGCATTCCAGCCTAGGTGACAGAGTGAGACTCCATCTCAGAAAAAAAAAATATATGTGTGTGTGTGTGTGTGTGTGTGTGTTTATATGCGTCAGGCCGGGCACAATGACTCACTCTTGTAATCCCAGCTCTTCGAGAGGCAAAGGCAGGAGGATAGCTTAAGCCCAGGAATTGAAGACATGCCTGGGCAATATAGTGAGACCCCATCCTCCACAAAAGGAGGAAAAAAAAAAAAAAGTAGGCTGGGTGTGGTGGCTCATGCCCGTAATCCCAGCACTTCGGGAGGCTGAGACAGGCAGATCACCAGAGATCAGGAGTTCGAGACCAGCCTGGCCAACATGGTGAAACCCTGTCTCTACTAAAAATACAAAATGTTAGCCAAGTGTGGTGGCTCGTGCCTGTGTGTGTGTATATATACACACGTATATAAACACGGCACACGTATCGTTACGCCCTGCACAGTCCAGTGACAACCTTGGCCCTGCCCTCATCCCTTTGATCCCATTCGAGTCAGGAATCTCAGTTGGGTTTTGGAGGCTGTGGGGTCCCAGGTTCAAGTCCTAGGACCAGGTGAGCTCATCCATGATGTGAGTTGGATTGGTTGACAACTGGTAGTAACATGAATGGAGAACTAGCCATCCTTTAGGGACCAGCTCAAATGCTGTCACCTCCCAGAAACCTTCCCTGCATCATTCTGGCCTCCTCTGTGTCAACAGCCCTGCCCTGCCTATTGTTTTCCCTGACGTGGTCCCAGGGGGGTCTTTCTGCCATCCAGAGCTGACCCTGTCTCCTCTGCACACAGCCTCCCATGGGTCCCTAGCACGTTAGGACAGGTCCAGGTGTGACTGCCTGGCCTTCTAGGGCCCTTCCTCAAGCTGTGTGGCCTTGTGGACCTCCATCTCACATCTCCCCTCCCCTCCCTTGCTGCCATCCTCACATGGGACCCATCCTTAGTGTGCCACATTCTCTTAGGCCTCCCTGGCTGTGCACACGTCCTTTCTTTTTCTCTTAGAACTCCCCTGTCCCTGGCCGGGCGCAGTGGCTCACACCTGTAATCCCAGCACTTTGGGAGGCCGAGGCGGGCAGATCACGAGGTCAGGAGTTTGAGACCAGCTTGGCCAACATGGTGAAACCCCATCTCTACTAACAATATAAAAAATTAGCCAGGTGTGGTGGTGCACACCTGTAATCCCAGCTACCCGGGAGGCTGAGGCAGACACCTCACTGTCCCTTCATCCCTGTTCGGTCTTTAGGTCTTAGCTTAAGTGTCATTTTCTCCAGGAAGTCACCTCTGTGCCCTCTGCTCCTGCCATTAGATCATAAGTCACTTGGGGATCTTGAAGGACAGAGAGGGTCTGAGGCCTCGCCCGGCCCTGGGCCTGTCGTGCAGGCTGTTGTGGGGTGGTTGGGGCGGAGCTGCCCTGTGGCGGGACTCAGCCCTGTCCCCGCGCCCACAGATCCACATGGTGTACAGTAAGCGGTCGGGAAAGCCCCGCGGCTATGCCTTCATCGAGTATGAACACGAGCGGGACATGCACTGTGAGTACCACCCGCCGCAGCGCTGCCCTCTGACCCTCTCACTTCTCTGCTGCCCCAGCCCTTCCCAGTCTGTCCCCTCCCCACCCTGCCACACCTGACATTAGCGATGTCTCTTCTCCTCCTCCCTCTGTTTCTGATATATCTTTTTTTTTTTTATATACGTGTTTTTTAAAAAACAAAAACCAAATCCCCCACAACGTGTGTGTGTGTGAACCTGGGGAGGTAAGTGTCACACGTTGAACCTCAGGGGCAAAGAGGGAACTGGGTGGGGGGCCGGGGCCAGCCGGAGGTGGGGGGAGGGGTCGGATTTTGGGGGAGCCTCTCCCCATTGTCCCCCCCCCACTGGAGTTGGGGGCGGCCAGGTTGCCAGTGAGGACTGGCCTTTGAACTTGCCCTCTCTTCCCCCCCAGTAGAACTGGGGCTGGGCCACCCAACCCTCCGCCTCCCCAGCTCTGGCCCCCAACCCTGTTCCTCAGCGGGCAGTGGGGTGATAGGCATGTTGAGCGCCTGCCCCTGCAGTTCCAAAGCCCCCTTTGAGGCTGCCACGGCGTCCACAGGGGCAGGGATGGGTGGGGGAGGGTGGGCAGGGCTGCGGCGTGTCCAGGGGCCGCCGTATTAATTGACTGTTCTTATTGTCACTGCAGCCACCACGCAGCTGGCTTGCAGCTGATGCTTACGCTCCCCTTACAACACCTCAGTGTATGGTTGGTATAAGGGTTTGTATCATGGGTAAGATCACTCAGCACCGCACACCAGCCCAGCTTAGCCAGGCAGCTCAGGAGCAGCGAGGCACCCCTCCTCCCGCCCCAGTCGCCCCCGCAGCCTCCCCGCACCCACAGCCCTTTCCTTGTTTGGGTGCCCTTTGTCCCTCCTGCCCCGATCCGTATGCTTTCTGAGAATCTTGCTGATCGAAGGAGGGGAAGGATGAACCCGGTGGGAAAGGCAGCAGCCTCTCCGCTCGGGCTCCACCCGGCCTCTAATGACCCGGCTTTGCGATGTCAGCGGTGAGGTGGCGGGAAAACCGAGGGCAGGGCACCAGGCCAGGGCTCCACTGGAACCCTTCCGCCTTCCCTCCCTGCCCCCGTGCTTTCTGTGGGGCTGCCACTGTGCTGGCCCTGGAGAATCTTTTTGGCTGCTAGTTTTGGGGTGCTCTGCCCCCTTCCTGTCTTCCTTACTGTGGTTGAAGCCTCCCAAGGGGGCTGGCTGTGGTGTCCAGCCGCTCTCCAGAGGTGGTCACGAGCTCCCCAAAGTGCATGGAATTGGGGCTTGGGGTGTGGGAGGGACCAAGGGGTAAGTTGCCAGCAGCTGAAGGTGTCGTAGGTTTTAACTAAAGAACCTTCCACTGTCTGGAGACTTCAGAGAGAGGGAAAGAGAGAGAGGCCTAGATGAACACAATCACATGTTTTCTTTGCTGTTCTTCCCGGGTTGGGCCTCTTGGGATTTGGGACTCTGAACCCAAGCGGGGTTCCTTCGCTTGACTTTGATCCTGGTCCTTAAATGCCTTTCCCCACTCCCCTCCTGTGGGTTCAGGGGCCAAGCGGCCCCTCCTCAGAGCACTGGCAGCACCATCTCCTGGACCCCTGCGTGCCAGCCTCTGCAGAGGCAGCTGGTGGGAGGGAGCATGGAGTTGGAGGTGGAGAAGCCACTCCTGGTCCTCTGGGTGGCGGGCTGTGTGCCTAGTTCAGTGTGACTTGGGGATTGCTAAGGGCGGACAGGTGTTTGAGGCCTCCCTGCCTTCTTTGGAAATTGACACGCTATAGTCTAGGGCTTTCCAGCTCCCAGCTTGGGTGGCAATCCTCGTCTCCCCACTGTAAGGCCTCCTTGAGATTTCTTTGGGGTCCACCACTTCCTCTGCCTGTCTCCAGGTGGTACAGGAGATGTGGTTCCTCTTCCTCTCCTGGCTCCCTAGAATCCCCACTTCCCCTCCCTGTAGCTTTAGCTGACCCCATGGTGGTGGGTGTGGGGTCTGTGCGCGTGCTCAGGTAAGCTTGGGGGCTCCAGGTAAGCGGTCCCGTGTCCCCCCCCCGGGAAGCCCGCCTCCTCGCCAGGCCCCCAGGAGTTGCCGAGCCCCCCCCATCCCGCTCGGTTTGGACACCCGCAAGGCCGGCATCGGTAAATGGCACCTTTTTCTCTTCCTCTGGTTGTTATTTGGGGGGGAGCGGGCTGGGGTGGGGCAGGGTATTATGGTTGGTTGAGGACAGCCCCCCCTAGGCCAGGGCTGGGTGGGGGAACAGGGACTTTTTGGCCTTCCCGACATCCCCGTGTGATCACAGGCCAGTGCCTCAGGTTTGCCCTCTGCTGAGCCCTGCCCGAGAACAGCAGTGAGTCCCTCCCCCATCTCCCCTCTATGACTCCCGACTCCCCTTTCATGGCAGGCTCAGGCTGGGGTTTGCTCCCAGCACCTGTTGAGCCAGGGTTGTGGAGAGTGAGATGGGGCGGGGCTGGGGGGAGGCAGGGTCAGTCGTCTCAGGTAAGGCAGGGATTCTCGGTAGCACCGCACGGCTCCCCATGCTTCCTCCACTGCCCCTCTCCCTGGCTGCAGGGGCCCCTCCAGGCCCCCTGGGAGTGTATAACCCGCCTCTCTGCTCCCTGCCATTTCCTGAAGATTTCTCCCACCCCATTCTGGTTCATTTTCTGTTCTCATGTCTGTTCCCCCCACTCACCCCCCTCCAACAAAAACAAAACCGGTGTGGTCTGGGGTGCGGAGCGTCCCAGCTGGGCCTCCTGCCCTGGCATGGTGTCTCAGGGTGCATGCTTGGGGTTGTGGAGGAGCCCCCTCCCCCACAGCAGAGTCCAGCGTGGAGTTAACCTTCAGTTTCTTTGCAGCAATTTTGGCCGCCCTGGCGGGAGGGGGCTGCTCCATCGTGTGGGATAGGAAGGACCTGGGAGCCCAGAGGGTGGCGGGTGAGGGTGGACGTCTCCCCCAGCCACAACTGGTTGGGGTGCTGAGAGGAAGCAGACACTGAGATGGAGCAGGCCCCTCGCCGGTTTGGGAGAGGGTTGGTCTGGCTGTCAGTTGCCTGGCTGTCTGGTGGGCGTGTGCGAGTGCGTGATGATGGGGACACGGGGTGGGGATGCTGTAGACCTGGGCCTGTCCTGACTAGAGGACCCTCTGGGGACTCTTCTCCCCTCCCTCTCCCCACATCTGTTACAGCCGCTTACAAACACGCAGACGGCAAGAAGATTGATGGCAGGAGGGTCCTTGTGGATGTGGAGAGGGGCCGGACCGTGAAGGGCTGGAGGCCCCGGCGGCTAGGTGAGCACATCCTGCCCACGCCGGGCTCTCGGGGTCCTCGGCCTAGTGGCCTTGTTCTCCTCCGCTGCCTCCTGTTTCTCTGTCTCCTGCCGGCTCACCGCTCCTGTCTCCTCATCTCCAGCTTTCATGGCCATCACATTTCCTATAGCCGCCTGCCTCCTCGTTGTAGGTTATTGTGAGGAGCAGGGGCACCAGCCTGGAGAGGCCTCAGCCTACATGCTGCTGTTCGCACTTGCTAGTTGGCGGGGTGGGGGGGGGTCCCTCTTCTGTCTCATTGTTCTCCTCCTAGTGGAAATAACCCCGAGTTCACTCAGTTCAGTGTACTAGGTACCTAGCTTGGCAGTGACACATGCTGGGGTTGTAAATGTCACCTGCTCATCTGCTTCTGCTGCTTGCTCTTGCTCTTGTTCGCTCATTTACTGATTCAGCAAGTACGTATTTGATCGCCAGTCATGTGCCATGCTTCTAGTCAAGAGCTACACAGAGGCAGCCTCTGCCCTCTGAGCCTTCTGCATTCAGGCTCCTTCACTGTCATTCGTTGTCTCAGGCAAGGTCAGTTTGGCCGCAAGTGTTAGAAATACACTTGAGCTTCCTGAAACGTAAAGGGCCCTGTTGGTACAGAATCATGGGCGTCCTTTGGAGCTGAGAGGTATGGGATGGCTGTGGACCTAAGAGGACCTGGTAGCTGAAGCTGTTAAGAGCTGGGGTGGCCAGGCTGGGCGCAGTGGCTCACACCTGTAATCCCAGCGCTCTGGGAGGCTAAGATGGGTGGATCTTGATGTCAGGAGTTCAAGACCAGTGTGGCCAAGATGGTGAAACCCCTTTACTAAAAATACAACTAGCCAGGCATGATGGTGGGTGCCTGTAATCCCAGCTACTTGGGAGACTGAGGTAGAGAATTGCTTGAACTCAGGAGGCAGAGGTTGCAGTGAGATGATGAGAGGTTGCAGGGAGCCAAGATTGTGCGATTGCATTCCAGCTGGGGCGACAGAGCGCAACTCTGTCTCAAAAAAATTAAAAATCCTAACTCTATACCTTAAGTGTTTAAAAAAGAATAGCAAACTAAACCCAAAGTTAAAAAAAAAAAAAAAAAAAGCTGGGTTGCCCACAGCTTGCTTCTGCCTCGTTAGCCTCCATGCAGCTGGGTCTGTCCCGTGCCTCCTCACGCTGACCCAGGGCAGCGTGCCACAGGCCCCAGCTTTACACTCAGTCCTGGATGAGTCTCTGTTTCGGGGTGGGCACATCTGACTGGCTCAGTATTGGGCCTGGGCCCAGGGTCCTGTTCCTCAAGCATGCTTATTGAGGACCGAATCCTGCAAAGCTGAGTGACAGTTGTCAGAGAAGAAGATGGTCCCTGGGCAGACAGGCAGTAGTAGCCACCCGGGGCTCCTGTCCTGCCTCCCAGCCCTGTGTCCTCGCTCTGGATTCGACTGTGGTAGGGAGACCACACTCGGCTGCTGAGCCTCTGAGCTTACCAGGCATGTTCTTACCTTACTCTGGTCTCTCTGGGGTGGAGTGGGTTCTTATACCTCTGTTGTTTCCTGTCATGGTGGGAGAATTCTGGAATCTTAGAGTCTCTCCAGAATCTCAGAATCTTGTAGTGCAGTTGGCATTCACATTTTTTGTTGGTGTTAGCCAATAATATCTTGACTTGGTGCACCCGCAGAAATACTACAACCTAAAGCTTGAGGAAACAGTTTTTTCTGTGTAGTAAGTATATTGTATATTGTGCTGTTTTGTTTCTTAAGCTGTTGGTTGCAGCCCATCAGATTGATGATGTGACTCACTGCTGGTTCATGACCTGGAAAGAGGAAAAGCTAGTCTAGCTGCCCTGTGCCTGTGACATGGCAGGTGCCTGGCCCACTGCCTGCTTCCTATATGAATGTCTTCCTGGTGTCCCCACAGCCTCTTTGCTGTACACAACTCAGCTCTGCCTCTCGGAAGCTTTTCCAGGCAGTGTGGGATGGAGGAGCGCTTGAGAAGGCAGGTTCTGCAGCAGACGGCAGTGACAGCCCAGTTCTTCACCTTCCTTGCTGTGGGCCAGTGACTTGATCAGAGATCCTTTCCCCATCAGAACAGTGAGGTTATCGTCTGTGCCTTGGGGCTGTTCATTTATTCACTTGACACATACGCATCCACCTTTCTACACCAGCTGCAGCGCCACCTGCTGGTACCGTGAGCAAGAGCCAAGCGCGTGCGCGGTCCGGCGGCGCCTTGCAGTCTGAGAGGCAGGTAGGGGTGGACTCAGACAGGTAGCAAACCTGAAACTCCGGGGAAAGGAAGTGTTTTTCTGCAACTGTGAGTATGTAGAATGGCCAGGAACGGCTTCCCGAGGAAGGGATGCTTGGGTTAGCCTTAAGGGTGAGCGGGAGTTCACCAGAGAAGGAAGGGGAGGCCGGTCCAGGGCGAGGAGAATGCGCAGACACTGTGGTAGGAAGCAGGTGAGCGCGGACACTGGGAAAGGCCTGGGACACGCAGAGCCAGCGGCCCCGGCAGGGCCTGCTCTTGCTGCCTCTACCACCAGTTGACGGAATTTGGACCTCAGGCTGGGGGATGCCACCAAAGGCTTTCAAGCAGAGCACATTTTCTGGTGGAGAGATGATTGGCCTGGGTTTTGTGTGAGGGTAAGGAGGATTGGGAGCGTTTTGAGAAGCCTGTGAAGTGCACTTTGGGGTCAGAGGTGGGTTCCAGTGACAGCTGTTTCCCAGCGAACGCTCTGTGTGGGTTACTCAGTGTCGGCAGACGTGGCTGTCTTGTGATGGGAGTGCCTGAGATGAACTGCACGGGAGGGACCCGGCCCTGGGAACACTAAGCCAGGGCTGCCTTCCTGCCCTTTGCTCTCAGAGCTGCCTATTTCCGCTCCTCTGGGCCCTGCCCCTGCCTAGACTCACCCTCTGTCCGTCTGCCCTGCCCCAGGAGGAGGCCTCGGTGGCACCAGAAGAGGAGGGGCTGATGTGAACATCCGGCATTCAGGCCGCGATGACACCTCCCGCTACGATGAGAGGTAAGATTGGGCGACCGGTGTCCTGGGGCGGGGGGCGGTCACGGGGGAGCCCGGTCATACAGGTCTGCCCACCTCATCCAGGCCCGGCCCCTCCCCGCTTCCGCACAGGGACCGGGACCGGGACCGCGAGCGGGAGCGCAGAGAGCGGAGCCGGGAGCGAGACAAGGAGCGAGAACGGCGACGCTCCCGCTCTCGGGACCGGAGGAGGCGCTCACGGAGTCGAGACAAGGAGGAGCGGAGGCGCTCCAGGGAGCGGAGCAAGGACAAGGACCGGGACCGGAAACGGCGAAGCAGTCGGAGCCGGGAGCGGGCCCGGCGGGAGCGGGAGCGCAAGGAGGAGCTGCGTGGAGGCGGCGGCGACATGGCGGAGCCCTCCGAGGCGGGTGATGCGCCACCTGATGACGGGCCTCCAGGGGAGCTCGGGCCTGACGGCCCTGATGGTCCAGAGGAAAAGGGCCGGGATCGTGACCGGGAGAGACGGCGGAGCCACCGGAGTGAGCGTGAGCGGCGCCGGGACCGGGATCGTGACCGCGACCGTGACCGCGAGCACAAGCGGGGGGAGCGGGGCAGTGAGCGGGGCAGGGATGAGGCCCGAGGTGGGGGCGGCGGCGGCCAGGACAACGGGTTGGAAGGTCTGGGCAACGACAGCCGAGACATGTACATGGAGTCCGAGGGCGGCGACAGCTACCTGGCTCCGGAGAATGGGTATTTGATGGAGGCTGCGCCGGAGTGAAGCGGTCCTCTCCACCTGCTGTGATTGGACGCGTTCCTGCCCCACCCCCTTGCTGTCATCCCCTCCCCCAACCTTGGCCACCTCAGTTTGTCCTCCAAGGGTAGGTGTCTCATTTGTTCTGGCCCCTTGGATTTAAAAATAAAATTAATTTCCTGTTGCTACTGGGCACCTTGGTTCCTTCGCTGCTCCGTCTTCCCCGCAAGGTTGTCCCTGACTCGATAGCCCTATTTAGTTTGGTTTCCCGGGCGTAGTTACAGCTTGAGGCTGGCTGTGCCCGGTAGCCAGAGCTGTTGAAAGTGGGGTGAGGAGGCCTCTCTAGGGCTCCTTGTCGCCCTTGTGTTTTTCACCCTCTTTTTTTTTTTCCACCTCTTCCACACATTCCTCAGAGCTGACCATACCCCTGCCTTGGTGGGGGCTGGGATTTAGGAGGGGACTCGTTTACTCAGGGGAAGCAGCAGTTTTGAATGTGAACACACCTTGCGGGTGAGATGGGGTGGAGCAGGAAGGGTGGGCGGGGCCTCACATACTTCGTAGTGACAGGAATAACGAACAGAAACAGAAGAGGTTCCACCAGCAGTTGAGATTTCAAGCAGATGCCTGGACAAAAGATTAAAGACAGGGTGGTGAGGACACTTGAGTCTGGTGAGTGCTGAGAAGCCAGTCCACCCTGCAGAACCCTAGAGGGTCAGGGCTGCAGCTGCAGGAGAGCGAGGGTGGGAGGCCAGAGGCAGAGCTCTGTACAGCTGGCCTCCCTGTTGGCACTCAGGATGCCTGGGAGCTGGGCCGGGGGTGCCAAAGCAAAGCCAAGTTCAGACGTGTTGGTGTCTTTCAGAAGTGTCTCAGCCTGATAAGAGGGTCTGTGACTGGCACGCAGAATTGCAATCTGCTTTTTAATGGCTTCAGTTTAACCAACTAAGGATACTCAGACATTTGAGGAAAAACAGAGACCATAAGATAAACAGAAAAACTGATCTTGGAAGAAATGACTTAGGAATAAAAGAACTTGATATCTCTAATTAGCATATTTCATAGAGATCCCAGATACTGCAACTACGGACTTCTAGTACTGGCTACAAAAAGCCCATTGTGGACTAACATGGTTACATAAAGGCTGGGCAGTAGACAGAAACTCAGGAAAGGTGCTGTAGGGCAGCCGCTTTGATGAGGCTTGAAGGGGGCATGGTCCGTAGGCACACAGGTGTGTTTCACGCTTACCCTTGCCTTTTCCTTGAGGACGTTTTGCCATTTAGCATGGGGAAGAGACGACCAGGCAGGACTGACGTCCACTGGGCCAAGTTCACAGAGGTTCAGCCAGGCAGCTGGGACTGACAAAACGGGAGAGGAGGGCACTGAGCTCCCAAATCTCCTCGCACCTCCCCAGACGCATTCACCAACTCAAGCTGCTGACTGTCATTGCAAGACCCCCAAGAAACTCATCAGAATGCAGTAACTGGGAGGCCAAGGAACTGACTGCCGGGAGATTGCAGCAGCCATGCTGTTCTGGGCCCACCATGGTGGAATGACCCTGCTTGAGATGCCCGGGGTGCCTGAATATCAGAGTAAGGCCACAACAGGGAATCAGGCTAAGAGGCCAGGCATGCTGGCTCATGCCTGTCATCCCAGCACTTTGGGAGGCAGAGGCGGTCGGATCACTTGAGGCCAGGAGTTAGAGACCAGCCTGGCCAACATGGTGAAACCCCATCTCTACCAAAAATACAAAAATTAGCCAGAGGCTACACACCTGTAGTCCCAGCACTTTGGGAGACTGAGATGGGCAGATCACCTGAGGTCAGGAGTTCGGGACCAGCCTGGCCAACACAGCAAAACCCCATCTCTACTAAAAAATACAAAAATTAGCTGGGCGTGGTAGGGAGCGCCAGTAATCCCAGGTACTCGGGAGGCTAAAGCACGAGAATCGCTTGAACCTAGGAGGGGGAGGCTGTGGTGAGTGGAGATTGTGCTACCTCACTCCAGCCTGGGTAACAGAACAAAGACTCTTGTCGCCAAAAAAAAAAAAAAAAAAAAAAAAAAAAAGGCTGAATATGGTGGCACAGGACTGTAATCCTAGCTACTTGGGAGGCTGAGGCAGGAGAATCGGTTGAACCTGAGAGGTGGAGGTTGCAGTGAGCAGAGATCGCGCCACTGCACTCCAGCCTGGGCAACGGAAAAAAATACAAATAGGCAGGCTAAGAAAGCCTAAAACCAGACTTTGTCAGAAATCAGGCAATCTGCCAGTCAGAAGAAAACTCTGAAAGAAGATAAGCATTCTGAGCCTCCACATGTACTATTTTTATACCCATTACACAGCATCTACTCAAAAGTTACCAGGTTTGTTAGAAAGGAATTAATTTGCTGAAAACCGAGAGGCAAACAAAATAGACAATAGAAAGAAACCCAGGGGTGATTCAGATGATGGAGTTATCAGAGCTATGATATATTCAGAAAATAAGAAAAAGATGTGGAGAATGTTAAGATATCTGGAATCTAGCTACCTGAGAGGCAGAGGTAGGATTCCAGGATTCCTTAAGCCAAGGACTTTGAGATTGCAGCGAGCTATGATCACACCACTGCACTCCAGCCTGGGTGACAGACGAAGACACCATCTCAAAAACAAACGGGCACAGTGGCTTACCCCTGTAATCTCAGCACTTTGGGAGGTTGAGGTGGGTGGATCACGAGTTTAGGAGTTTAAGACCAGCCTGGCCAACACAGTGAAACCCCATCTCTACTAAAAAATACAACAACATTAGCTGGGCATGGTGGTGCGTGCCTGTAGTCCCAGCTACTTGGGAGGCTGAGGCAGGAGAGTCACTTGAACTGGGAGGTGGAGACTGAAGTGAGCCCAGATCGTGCCACTGCACTCTACCTTGAGCAACTGAGTGAAACTTCGTCTCAAAAAAAAAAAAAAATCTCGAATCTGACACCAAAAATATGGCAATTCTAGAACTGGAAAACATAATTGGAATTAAAAAGTAAGTGGTGGCCAGGCATGGTGGTTCATGCCTGTAAACTCAATACTTTGGGACGCCAAGGTGGGAAGATCACTTGAGCCCAGGAGATGGGAGACCAGCCTGGGCAACATGGCAAAAGCCTGGTCTCTATAAATATTAGAAAAACTAGCCAGATGTGGTAGCGTGTGCCTATGGTCCCAGCTACTCAGGTGGCTGAGGTGGAAGGATTACCTGACCCCAGGGAGGTCGAGGCTGCAGTTAGCCATGATCACACGACTACACTTCATC